CAAAACTGAGTGATGATAACCTTTCTATTTTCACTAGTTTAGTGAAACCATGCCCGGTTTCTTAATTTGCTTAGTTTTAGTTGTATGAAACAAAGCATCTTAAATTGTATCACGGTTTTTATTTTTCAAAAAAGATTTACCTTCTATATTGTATTACTTTATCAAAAATGCTTCAAATAAAACCTCTTAATCTGGTTTACAGGTAATGACCATTCTGATGATTTTATTTCAGATATTTGTTCTTACAAAAGATGTTTATACCGATTAGGACTAGGATGTAGCATTTTTTGACATAAACATTACACGTTTATCATCTTGATGATCCCCACTGGATCAGCGGTAACTTTTCGGACTTACAACGCTAAAAATTTGAAGTTCATTTCCCTACAGTAGACAGAGTGCAGATAGCTCATTGTGTAGTTTTGCGCTAAAAACAATACCAACACATCTTAGGGAACTGTTCTTGTTCTTGTTAATATATAGCAATAATTGCAAAATATAAATAAACCGTCAAATATATTTCTATCTGTGTTAAATCTCTTGAATGCTATTATTTTTTTGTCTTTGTAGAATTGATTAATTACATTGAGAAACTATATTCTATCGTAAGTACAAATTAAAATGTGTAAACTGACTGTAGTTTCTTAAGCTTAATTTTGGGTTTGGGGGCAGAAAGTTACTAAATTTAAATAAGTTGTTAGTTGTGTACTTTATGTAGTTTAAATGAAACATCTATTATATTTAACTATTTTTCTGTAACTCAAACAAAACTAATATAATTTCAATGCATTTCTAAATTTTAATTTTCTTGAACTCCGGTACACCATTTTAGGAATACCAAACCTTTCTATTGTCACCAGTTTAGATCATGCTTGGTTTCTCATTGATTTGCTTAGTTTTAGTGATTTCAAAAATGATCATTTCCAGTCGTTGGTCAGATTTTTCACATGATAAGATAGATCAGATATAGACTTTTTTCTTGCTGGTTATTACTTATTTTATACTATTGACTTCTTTTTTATTTATGAGTGAGTCGCTTTCCATTTCGATTAACTTAAGCATTGATTTACATAAATAGGTCCCTGATCGTTGGTTAATATTTGTTGCTCATACACTCAGTAAAGACCGAAAGGATCGAAATATACCAAAAGGCTTAACAGATAATAATTAGGTATGATTGAAACGCTGCAAAGTAGTGATTCTGCAAGTGTTAGGAAGGCGTCAGTTTATCTAAGAAAGATATAAATTTTAGAAATTTCCAAGAAAAAATGCTATATAGCAAGTATTCATTGTTTATACAGAGTAGGAACACACACACAGACATACATTAATTGTTCGAAAACACAGTAGATCCATTACGTAAAAGATCGATATGGATAAAGGGGGTTTCTCCCTTTTCGTTTTCGGGAGAGAGGGGGTTAATATAATGGTTGTAATGATTGATATTAAGTTCGTTACCATAATGTGATTCCAGTCTCATTTTCATTATTTTTGTGACTTTTGTTTTCACAAATATAAAAACCTGCTAAACACGTTGGTAAGATAATTTGTTTAATTTTTTCGCTTAAATCAGATTGAGGTGTTTTCTAAACCACTCTTTTATAAAGTTCAGTAAAAGTAACTTTAATTACAAATATCTTGATTGGTTTGTTTGTTTGTTTGTTTTTGATTATGCACAAAGCTACACAAGGGCTATCTGTGCTCTGCCCACCACGGGTATCGAAACCCAGTTTCTAGCATTGTAAGTCCGCAGACATACCGCTGTGCCACTGGGGGGCCTTGATTGGTTTAAAAGCGGTGTTATTTTTCAAATGGCCCGGATCTAAATGGCGTAAGTACAGAGAAGAGATAACTTTTAAGTAAGAGTGCAAGAAAATTGGTCAAAATATTTTTACGACGAATATTAAGTTTAAATGTTTATTGTTTGCACTTTTTTCCGAATTATGGAAGAAGACTTTGAATACGTAATGTATGGTTGAACATCAGTTTTCGTACGTCGCAGCCAAGCATAGTTAATTGTGTGATCTTACAAGTGTATAAATCCCAATACACCAGGGTGACTGACAATCCTATAACATTTTGTTTTTTTTTGTTTGAAATTAAGCACAAAGCTACACAATGGGTTATCTGTTCTCTGCCCACCACGGTATCGAAACTCGGATTCTAGCGTTGTAAGTCCGCAGACATACCGCTGTGCCACTGAGGGGCATCCTATAACTACTATCGACTTGTCGTGCTTTTAAATATGTTATGAATACCGTGTATCAAAAAAAGACGATTATTACGGTGAAGGTAAAACAACACTGTAATGGTTTAATTTTTAATGCGTGTATTAATCAGTCTACTGAGCCCTAAAACAAACATGAACATATAATGAAACACATTTCTGAAAATATTTATTTTATATATTTCTTTATTTCAAGAGACAAATAATCAATTACCTTCATAATTTTCCGGTGGGTGTATTCTGAAAAATGGAATTAAAATTTTCGATCTGAAAGATGTATTATACGCCCATGAAATAAACAGCCAGGTTAATTATCCTAAGAAACTGACATACCCGTCACTAAATTTTAACTGCTGATCAAAGAGAAGACATCCAGTCAAGAGCATTTGATGCCACTATTCGTCTATTTGAACCCAATAACGGAATTTACTGTAATTTTTATATAGGACCACATCTACCTGGAAGTGCGGAACACGTTCAATAACATAGGTCTCGAACCCTGAACCCTTCAACACGCACCTACCTCGGGCTTCGCAGGAATTGGCTAGGGTGGCAAAAACTTTGGATGTTGGAGGACTCGTATTCCTCTGTGGTGAAAATATACTTAAATTCTTGCAACAGTTCCTATTTCTTGCTAATACCAGATCTACTGGTGTCAAGTGATAAAACAATATTTATATTGTGGCACTTCCATGAAGTTTCTTAGAGCTGATTTATATTTTATCACATAAAATAATTTTTGCATCATTTTTGCATCAATGAATAGGTTATATACGCTAATAAAAAAACATTTTTAGGACATGAATTAGCTAATAATTATTATTCAGCTCATCTGATCCATTACCATATATATCAAGCATTTAACAATTGTAGAATTAACTAATATATTTTCTTTTAAAAATATTCATACTATAAAAACCTATGATAAATTCAAACTGCCTTATTATACCTTAAATTCTATAATACAAAAAATATATTATACATTCTAGTTGTCCGTAAAAGTACATTCTGCTGTAATCCAGTACCTTAAAAAATGTCCTACTTTCCTGGTTATTGCCAATTTTAGTCTACTTCCGCGTTTGTATTTGCTTATTTGGACACATATAGCATCTTGGAACTTGGCTTTTTTAAGTTTCGATCCGACGTTTCTATAAGAATACAGAATGGTAATTTTATAATTACTTTCTTACATTTGGTAGGCTTAGGAAAATGACGCATTCTGTATATGCTACTTTTATGTTGTTTTTTTTATATCAGTCATAGTCTAGGGTAGTTCTATGAAGTAAATCAAGTGTTTTGCGCTGTCATTGGTATTCGTTGTTCAGTCATGTCTTCAACCATATTGACAATCTCCTCTTTTCTCCTTAACATTAACTGTTAGAGTGTTTACCAATCGAATCCTATCATTCCTACTGCTGTTTCGGAGGTAACTTACTTACGAATATCTCTTATATATATATATGTATATTTGAATAATTACTAATCTATCTCAAAGTTGTGTTATTTAGATTCTAGTGCCATCTAGTGATGACTGTGTATTTAAATACTGATGTTTGATTACTTATTCTTAGCTTTGCGACGACATGTATAGTTTCATAATCTTCTGTACAGTGATATAACCAAAACAGTTTCCTTCTGGAAAGTATCTGATAACCGAATTGGTAGTGAATAAAACATTATTACCTAGCTTATCTCTTATTGTTACGTTTGCTCTGAATAACTTAACACAAGAGACGTGGGAACTATTCTACTAAGCCTGATTTTCTGTCTTCTTTGGTGGTTAAGTGCCTCAATTTTGATTTTCAAAGATAATAATTCCGAATTCGAGAAACATAATTTTAATAAAAATATATAGGATGTAAGTAATTTTATGCAAACTTGTATATGAAAATCAGTATAAAAATCTATGCTTGGGGCTCTATTGGTATAATAAGAAAATCAGTATAAAAATCTATGCTTGAGGCTCTATTGGTATAATAAGAAAATCAGTATAAAAATCTATGCTTGGGGCTCTATTGGTACAATAAGAAAAATCAGTATAAAAACCTATGCTTGTGGCACTACTGGTATTGAGAAGTTGTTTTAATTTAGGTTTTGTTCTTCAGGAGGTTTTTATACATATTAAGTAGCAGATTCTCCTAAGCTGGCGTATAGATGAATGACGTCACCGCTTGTTCTTTGACAATCTGGACAAAAGAATCGAGAAGCTTGAAAGATCTTATGTCCTCTGCTTTCTTAAGATAGAGATAAAAATTCCATTCTTTAGTAAAGGTTTCATTTAAATTGCCGTTCACGACAGTATTACAAACAAAGAATAGGGCTTTCACTGGCATTGGGCTTCTTTCTTTTTAGTGTTATAAAAAAGGAACCATTCTTAGCCTAAGCTGAGAGCTCTCTCCGTTGTTTCTCATACATCACTGCTGTCAGTAACACACTCCCCACTCCGATACGAGATCTCACACATCCGCCTTTCAACATCAAAGAGGCGGGTTTTCGGCACATAATCGTTACGAACCTTATAGGATTTTAGCCAATCAGAATATCCCTCTCAAACCGGCTATGCATTCATGCGACGGCCTTATAAGTCGGCCTACCTAGTTTATTGGGTGCTCATGTGTCGCAGTGCGCGCATTACAAAATCATTTTGAAGCCAACTCGAGCTTTTGTATAATTCATAGCAAAGAAACTAGAAATTCCCCGAAAAGTGTTTGTGCTGAAATGCCAGTAATCAGGACAGTATAAACAGGAGACTTTTTTTGAGTGTTTCAAATATCAGAAACTGCGAGAAGTTAAAATGTGTGCCTGAACGGCTTCGATTAGAGCGACATGTATCCGAATGTCATAGCGCAACCCGTTTATCCAACATTACTAAGATGTCCGATCGCCACAGTGTCCCTTCCAGCAACCATTCAACCACCGTCTTCCCTTTCTCCGTCTGGGTCGCCTCCTTCAAACAACTCTTTTTTGGTGGAAAACCTTTTAAGGGACCGTGCCGCCGTTGCTGCTGTCGTAGGTCACCACGGGCCGTTTCTCGCTCGTCCCGTACCGTTATGTCCTTGCACGGGAGGCAGCTTAGACATCTCGTGCTCAGCGTGCACAGGTTACACCACGTGCTCAAACATCGGCACAGAATCTCTGTCGTCAGTAAAACGTTTTGAAACACTTTCGTCAGATAATAAACGCAATGATCCACAGCAGTTAAAGTTTGGTGTCAGCGCTATATTATCTCCCACTACAGAGAAAATTGTTACCAGTCGGTCCATTCTATCAACAGGTAAGTTTTTAACGTAGCCGATCCATTCCATCAGTAGGTAAGTTTTAACGTGACGTTTAACTGCAACTCGTTCACAGAAAATAATGGCGAGAGTATGAAACTGTGAGCTACAAAATAACGATCTTTTAAGGGGAATAATTTATGTGTGCTTTTGACATGTCTGTTTGTTTGTTTTGAATTTCGCACAAAGCTACATGAGGGCTATCAGCGCTAGCCGTCCCTAATTTAGCAGAGTAAGACTAGAGGGAAGGCAGCTAGTCATCACCACCCACCGCCAACTCTTGGGCTACTCTTTTACCAATGAATAGTGAGATTGACTGTGACATTATAAAGCCCTCAGGGCGAGTATGTTTGGTGGGATGGGGATTCGATTTGACATGTCGCTATAAAGTGTCTAGCAAAATATCATTAGTGTTAAACATGTTTTTCAGGTCATAGAAAAATAAACATTATTTTAAGCAGGACATTTTACTCTTTAATTTTTACACACACCACTCGTTATATTTACAATCAATTTAAAATACACTTAAAATACACGTAGTTTTCTTCCACTACGTGTATATTCTTAAAGCCTTAATCTCCTTCATGAATGTCTTATCAGTCTTTAAAGACCACCCATCATTGTTTTATTTTTTTCCAAATGGTAAAATCGATTCTGCACATGTGTGGAAATGTTAAGCAGCTTAATTAGTGTTGTGATATAGGTCCTTTTGTCACTTTGCTATTAGAAGTGAGTGTTTCATAAAATGAAAATAGGAACTATATAAGTAGAATATCTGGATACAGGTCTGTGTTGCATGCTCTAACACTAGAAAATACAGTATTCCATTGCATACTGTTAATTTTTAAGAGTGTTACACAGGTGTGTGTTGTACACTATAGTGTTGAAAAAAAAAAGAACTGTGTTGCATTTTCAAAACTAATAGTGTTAAAGTTTGTTTAGGAAATTCGCGCGGGGCGAATTAAGAGCCATCTTCAGTAATTGTCCTTATGTTTGTATGGATAAATTAAAGAAAATACAGCTAGTCAACAGCTCCTACCGCCAACTATTATTAATGCGATTTGACCGTCTCTGGTATAACGGACCCAAAGTGCTGAGTGCGTTCTTGCAGCAACGGGAATAGTGTTAAAGACTTGTATATTCTACACACTATGAAAATGAGATTGAGTAGGGATGTATCAGTTTTATTTTTCATTACATATACACACATATATATATATAGATTATTTTACATTGTTTGCTTAAAGTATAGATTAAAGACTAACTTAAATCTACCTAACTAGCCGTACCTTGTGAGATATTATTGGGATTATGGCCGAAAATATCGCTAATAACGAAGATAACAAATTGATGAAAAATGCGTTCTAATCGGTATATTAAATTAGATTTAATCACTATTTGGTTATTTTTATATCTGATAAGTGTTTGAAGTATTGCTTTGAATAGAAGTTATTTATAATAGGAGACAATTATGTACGGGAAGATATAATCATACTCTGATAGTGGAAAACAGGAGTGTTTTGTATACTCTGAAATTACGAGCTACATAAACACAAGCTACACATTTTGATAATTAAAGCCTGTTTTGTTTTCCACATTCTGAGAATGTGTTGCACAATGAATATATTTAAATATACATCATATAGATAATTTAACAGTAGCTTAAAATATTCCTAATTATCTCAAAAACGAAGCTAAGTACAATTAATATCTCGTGGCTGGACCTCGTATTAGGTTAATGTTTTTGGTTAACACTGATTTATTAAAAATCACTCACGAATTTTGTATCTTATAGAGGGTGTCTGTATATGTGAAATCAAAGAGATCCGTTTAGATATACTACTGTTATGTAGGTATTAAAACACCGGAATATCACGCAACAAACGTTGTTTGGCTATTCACTGCGTTTGCTACATTAATGAATCTTGGAGAAGTGTCAATTTGTTGCTGCTATGCCGTCAGGTGTGTGGGAAGATAAACTATTTAGGGAGCGTTGGTTGAATAGCATTAACACATTTTTCTGTTCCCATCTGGAATATATACATGTGTTTTTAAAAGGTCGACTTGCTGACACGTCCCATAATACGTTTGAATGAGCAGTTTAGAGATGTACTGATAAGATAATGTGAACTTGTAGAATATTCTCTGACCTTTAAGTCATCTGCATATGGTTTGAGTTATTTGAAAGAATGGGATATGCTGCAAATTCTAGACAGACAGAAAAACCGAGGTACGGACGGACGGACAGAAAAATACTTAAGTATTGCCTTTAAATAAAAATTGATTTTAAAATTAAGATGTACTTCATGACGTGTTAGCCGTGGATAATATGGTTATCATTACGCTCCCCCTGAAGCTGTTAAGGCTAGGTGTGACACTTAATTATCCACCCTTCCTAACTGTATCTCACCGAGGATGACCCAAAATGAGAAAATATGAAAAATATACCGATTTAGAAACAGGAGCCGCAGCCCACCTGATAGGCTATCTATACTTCACGTGCGCCAACAAATTACATAACTGTTGATTCATGGGATGTTGCCCTCCCCCCCTCCTGATCAGAAAATAAACGCGCTTTGGGCTTGTTATCCCCATGATGACGACGAACTTTATCTCGTTGAAGTCTGGGGGCTTCATCAATCTTTTTATGTGTGGTTGACGACTTAATTGATGGGTAAACACATACAGATAATTCAATTCACTAGTGAACGTCTAACTATATATTAGAAAAAATAATTGAAAATGGCGAGTTTGTGTTGCGATCTATTAGTTTCATTAAGATATGATAAAAGTGACGTTTTTTTACGTCTTGCACCACCTACAACAGTCTATGTAAATTTATCAAACATTTAGTTACACAAATAAATGGATCCTCTTTCTGACAAGATGATAAATAATGCTTATGGATAATCTGTAAATGTATCAGAAGTTATAATTACTTTGGTTGATAACTACATATAGAGATTTTATAGTTTAAAGTGTTGAATGTACTACCGTATAGTACGGTGTAATAAAACTGACTGCTAATGAGTTGATTCCGAAGACTTAATAAAGTATGTATATCAATTTTCTAAGGAACTAAAATATTTTAATTTTATAAACTTGTTTTCAAATAGAACATGTTATTACAATAATAGCCCATATACAACAAATATATATATATATATATATATATATATGTATACATGGATGTATAGGTAGCTAAACTTACTTGAAAAACAATCAATCCTTGCACTTGAATAGTGATTTTCTCTGTCATTCACGATGTAATATATATATATATACATGGATGTATAGGTAACTAAACTTACTTGAAAAACAATCAATCCTTGCACTTGAATAGTGATTTTCTCTGTCATTCTCGATGTAATATTTCAGAAGTGGAATATTAAAGCAATCGATGTATATATAATTTCACATCAAAAATCATTCAGTTGACTCATTATAACTTCGAGAAGCTTGTTAACTGATCGATGAATGTTAGGTGTTTTGTTCTATCATAAATAATGTAGTTATATATTTTTAGGAGTTATTTGTTTTGGGAAAATGTAGAATTCAATTCATTAAGGTTATTTCTCCAATCTTTTCGTGACATTAAAACAAACCTTATCTTTTATCAACTGTTTGCCCCTGAAGAAGAAAGGACCACCTTTTGAAAGCGCTCGGGTTATAGGGTTTTTATTCATTTTCTCAACTGAGATATTAGATTTTCATTCCTCGATTTATAAGTCAATCTTAGGATAATATTTAGTTAAAATTTCCCAGTTACAGTTGATTTTTAAGGAAATGTATATGTTTCTGAACAGGTTAAACTAAGTATGGTTGATTAAAGTTAAATGGTTGAAAGTATTCTAGAACATCCTTTCATATCAAAAGAACAAATCAACTAAAGCCTGATGATGAAAACCTCCAGACTAACATTCTTATCAACTTTTATGTGCAAAGTAAAATGGAGTATAATAATTTTGAACCTTAAAAAAATCGAACCTGAACAACAACAGTCCAAAACCATCTTTTCAAATACATGCAATTTTTCATTCAAATGTAAGTGGAATTGTTTTTTTTTTACTAAATATCTGATGGAGAGGAAATGGTGCTTTCACTGATAATTGGTTATCTTTGTTTAAAACCTGTATAAGCAGATCCACTTTTTAAGATGACTTTCTATCGAGATGTGTTACAGAGATTGAGTATAAAAAATAATCAGTGAAACTTTGAGGAACCAAAATTAATCATATAACTCTTCATATAATCGTACTCTGTTTTAGGACTTTCTTCGTGCACCAAATAGGATAGTAAAGGATTACTTCAGTTGAAAGAAATGTTGCTTTAATGACAGTATGTTTTAAACGTGAGTTAGTTTTGATTGTACATAAATAATTTATATAACAAGCTTTATTTACTCTTATTTTTTTTTTCATATTCTGTTCCACATTTCAGAAGTTACACGAAAAGGAATATAACTAGATGTAAATGTTTTGAAAAACGTGTGCAGGAATAATCTCAAATTTCGTACGAACACTGTGGATCAAACCCGAATAATATTTTTCATATTATCATAAAACTTTAAAGCTATTAAGACAAGCGTAAGGTTTGACTTTTCATGATATCTAACTTCACAGTTATCGAGCTCAAAAACAATTTTTTAGTTACTAACCTACAAACTGCTATAATGCAAATGCAAGTTCCTTACATAAAGTTAAGCCAAAATGACAAATTATTTCGATCTGTTGTTTATATCTTAAACCGTACTCTTGTTTGCATTTAAAATGATATTCTTTTTTATAAAATGAACACCAAGTTTATATCACAAATCTTATATATCTATATATGCTATATATATATATATATATATAAATCTTTATATTTTTGGCAAAAATATAAACAAGTAACTCCAAATGTTATGAGGGTAGATCGTGCCAAGCCTTGAGGTTAATGGAGGAGGATCGTGCTTAGCTTAGTGGTTAGCGCTCCTGACCTGGTGGTTAAAAAATGCCGT